AGGAGCAAATCCTTGTGCTGCCCATCCTTTAAACTGGGTAGTGAATAATGCAGCAAAAATTTCTATACCACTGAATTTTAAAATATCATTCAAGCACTCTACAGCTACTCTTCAGCTTCTAATAAATGTTGGAATATATTGAAAATACATGTATCGCAAATAAATTTGAAACTATTCAATATGCAAATATGTTGATTTGGTGACATCATAGGACTAAGAATTCAACTCGAGGTAGTGGTTAAACACCCTTTTAGAAATTGTACGTTACGTTCCTGAAGATTGCATCTTAGAACATAAGCCAAAGTTACACTTTGAAAATCACCAACTTTTAAATGTTGTTTTAAGGAAAATTAATATTTTGAGAAAATAATGAAGGCATCTAATTCAATGCCCTTAAGAGCACCAAAGGGGGTAAGAATAACATAGGATTAGTAGATATGTTAAAAATTGTTGAGTCTGGGTGGTGGGTATGCTATTCTCTGTATGCTTGTGTGTGTTTGAAAATTTCTACAGTAAAAAGTTTTAAAAATAGCTCTTTAATGGCTACCACAGAGCATCCTCCATTTTCTCCAATCTCTCAAATAATTAATCACTTAATTACAAAGCTTAATTACTAAAACGTGATTACAAAAAAAAAAAAAAGAATTTCTGGGTTCATAGGGAGCTTGGAGTTCATGCTCTGTGGATGGATGCAAGAGCCCTGCCAAAATCTCTAGACCTAGATCACTGGGTCTCCATTGGATTACCTGGATGAAATAAAATTTGTATTTTATGGCAAGACAAGAAAAATTTAAACATAAAATTATTTTCTACCAGTTTGGGCCTCTGCCTTTCCCTTTAGTGTGTATTGTACATCTGCATTGAACAGACTTCCTTAGGGGATAATGTTCCTTCTTAATCTTGTAAGGGATCACAGTAACCCACTACTTGCTTTGTACATACAGATCTGGATTGTATAAACTGTCAATACATCATTTGTTGGATAACTCTTTGCCTCAAAAGCTTATATAACTGTGCTTTGACCTCTAATGGGCAGAACAGTCCTCAGAGCTTTCTGAAAGACTGTCTCCCAGGTTATAATCCTCAGGTTGGCTCGAATAAAATTTTCCATTTCTTTCTTAGATTGACCATTGATTTTTTTTTCATCGACAGCCTCCTGCAGTGGGGAGCTTCCCACCTGATACCTCACAGCCTCCAAAGGTACCTGAAGGCTACCGGAGTTCAAATCACACGGGCACAGCTGCACGCTCGCACAGTCACTTACACTCACACACACACACACACACACACACACAGGCTCACACACTAAATGGGCTGGTCAGCCAACTCTTCAAGCCTCAGTCTCTGAAACTGTGAATACCTCCAATGCCCCCACCTTCCACAGGGGCCTCAGAAAACCCAGCCTCCTTTCCTGGGCAGTCTCTACTCTCCAGGGGTCGTTAGCTCCACCCTCTCCCTGAAGGGCCAGCCCCTGACAGAGAGGCAGGAACAGGAGAAACAGGAAAAATAATTTGGATACAAAACAGGTTCAGGGAAGTGAGGCCTGTTGGGAGGAGCAGGGTTTTGGCAAAACGAGGGTGAGTCCAGAACCCTAGTGAGTGTCCACAATTCCTGGGTGTTTGCTGTCAAAGAAAAATCGCACCGAACAAAGTTAAACAGGCACAGGAGACTTTATTCAAGACTATGGCAATAAGAGAGAGAGACTGAACTCAACTCCACTGAAACAAAAGGTGGGAGGGGTTTTCAGCTGGATAAGCTAGTGGGAAAATGCCAGAGACAGAGGGGAGGTTGGTGCATGGGATGGTCCAGCACCCTGACTTACTCCTGAGTTTACAAATGTTTTTCTCTGTAATTAGGCATCTGTGTTTGCTAACTGCCACTTATTCAAGTTCGGCTCCTACCCTCCCACAGAGCCTGAGGGTCAGGGGTGCTATCTTCCTTGATGATGACATTTTGGAGGGGTGGCTCCCAGGTCCCCTGAGAAAGACATTCCTGGGCTGTAAAACTGGCGAGAGGCTGGGAGAAAATTTACCTACATTTCAAAGGGACAGAGAAGGAATCGGCAATGACAAGTTTTCTAAAGTAAATGCTCTAAGGAAAGGGAAATTGGGGGCGTGAAGTCAGGAAGAAGTCCGTGTCAAGTTTAGTCAAGCCAGGAGACCATTAAGGCTGTCGTGGTCACTGCTATTGTGTCCCCTCTGCCCATTCATCTGGGGGTTCATGACCCTAGGTCTCTGCACATGCCTGGTGTGATCCCAGCAGGCAGTGCCTCCATGCGCAAGAAGCAAGGCAGATCAGGAGATGCCAACTTGGCATCAGCTCCCACTACCCTCGATAGCATCCATCTGGAAGTTCCCATCTGCCTGGTGTCTAAGTGTCCACATGGGTTTGGCTGAATCCTCAGGGGACAGTGTATCCCTCCCGTTGTCTGCCTGTGTCTCTATCTCCTCCGATGTTTTAAAATTCATTCATTTAAAAGTCTAATAAAAAATGTATTAAACACCTTCTGTGGGCATGTCCTGTTCATCAAGTCTGCGTTTGTCTGTGTGTCTACATTGGCGTCTGTCCACACCGGATGTGGCTGTCTTTTTGCATCCCATGTGTATCTGCCTCTCTGGGAGTCTCTGTCTCCCTGTCAGTTTGTTTCTAAGTTCCTCGATTCACTCATTCCTACAACATCACAAACATCCCCTGAGGCCTCTGAGGAGTTCACAGCCTGATGCAGTGACAGACACTAGCCCAACCCAGGGTGACCAAGGCTGGGAGACGGAGGTATTTGAGGCTGAACGTGGGTGGATGATTGTAGGGGGGCGTGGCAGGTCAGAGAAGTCTTCAAGGAGGAGGTGATGTTTGTGTCTCTGCGTCTGGAGACGTGGGCCCATATAGATGGTATGTGTTGGGATAGAGGAAGAGAAGAGAAATCAAGAGGCCGTGAGTGCCAACCTCAGACTAGAACACAGTGTTGGGGAACAGGGTAGAAAGAGAGCCTGCAAAACACAAATTCCCCCGAAGTTAAGGGTTACAGGCCTCTAGCTCCCTCCTCCCTCAGATCCAGGAGTCCAGGCCCCATCATGATTATCCAGGAGGAAACGAGCCCAAGCAAGGGAGGGCGGGGGTGGAGGAATGCCTGCCGGGCTGGGGCTTTGCTGGGAGAACCAGCCACGCAGAAATCAGAGCAGGAGCTGTCCTCGGTGTCTCCACTCAGGTCCACAACCTGGCAATGGGAGACCCCAGAGCCATCCTGCTGTGCCTCTTTGGGGCTGTCCTCTGTCTCACAGGTATTCAGACTTTTGAGTCCAGTGGTAAGAGGGCAGTTGGGTGGGAGATAGCTGGACTCTCCTGGGTCTGAGGGAGCAGACAGTGGGGGGCGGATTCCAGGGACTCAGGGAGGAGCGAACTAGGGGCCCTGATTCCTGGGTCTGAGGGAGAAGGGGCTGGGGGCCCGGACTCCTGGGTCTTGGTTGGGAGAGGCCTGGAGACTGTGTCCTCTCCAGTTCTCTTCCCCTCCTCTGTTCTTTCCATATCACTCATTTCCTCCAGTGTCTCTGTTCCACTACTCCAGCCTTTCTCATCCTCTTTGCCCATGTCCTCATTCAAAGGTACCTCTGGGGAGCCATGGGGGCTCTTTCTAGAACTGGCAGGAAACCTTGGCCTCATCCTCAGGCAACCCCTTCCCCTAGTTTGGGTAAGGACAGGGACATAGTCATATCAGGACTGAAGTGGCTACAAAGGCAGGGAACTTGAGAGGTGGGAAGGAGGTTATGCCTGCATATAACAACTTTGTGTGTGTGTGTGCACGCATGCACGTGCACACGCTCGTCCACGGAAGAGAGTTCGATTTCTCTGTGTGTCCATGTGTCAGGGTGTCCTGTGGGTCTCTATGCTTGTGTGTGTTTATCTGTACCAGGTTTTGATGTCTGGGTGTTTGAACAAATGCTTTTATGGGTCTGTTTATCTCTGAGCCTCACTTTCTTTTTAAAAGAGATGTGTGTGTAATTTTGCATCTCCGTTTCTCTTTGTGTTCGTGCATCTCTATGACTGGTGGGCCTGTATTTCTCTCTGTGTATGTGTGTTTGGGTATTTTGACGTGTATCTGTCTCTCTGTGTATCTGTTGTGTGTCTCTATGTATCTTGCATCTGAATATGATTTTAAATTGTTTGTTTTTGTAGCCCTCTTTTTTGTCTATCTCTAACTTCGCCTGATTTCAGGGTCTCATTTTATTTGTATGTCTGTGATTCTTGGGTCTGTATTTGTCTCTCTCTGGGTATGACTTCCTGTGTTCCTGGGTCTGTGTGTTGTGATTATTTCCGTATGCACACAGTTTTCTGTCTGTGAGTGTGATTTTGCATGTGTGAGATCCTGTGCCTTGGTTTCCGGGGTTTCTATGGGAGGGTCTGGGTGGTACTCGTTTTGCTTGTAAATGTAGAACTCAGTGTGAATGCATTCCGGATACTCTGTGAATATTTGTGAGATCTGCATGAGCCTGTGTCAATTTTGTTATTTTGTGTTTACGTCAGTGTTTAAGTGTTCTGTGTGTGTGTGTACCTGTATTGCTAGGGGCTGGCTCTGTGTGCATTTGTAGCATGAGATTGTACATCCCAGTGCCTATACTGGAGTGTTTGTTTTCCATCAGTGACCTTTTAGTGCTACTGGATATCATGAGTATAGTTGGGAAAGGGATAGGCAGGACAGGAGTGAATCACTTCCTCCTTTATCAAAATCTTGGAGGGCTTCCTGGAAGAGGATGGAGATTTGGAAGAGCCTGGGGAAAAAAAACCTGGACTGGCAGGTGCAGATGCCATTGCTGTGCCAAGAGGTAGACACAGCCATGACCAGCCACAGCAGCAGCCCCTGCTTCTTTCAAGGCAACAAGGCCTGTCTCCCCTCAGAGCAGAAGAGCCTGGCCCATGTGGCTGTCATATGCAGGGTGGAGCCTGATTCCTTGCACAGGCTCATCCTTGGCCTGTTCCACTCACTCCACCCCTGCTCCTCTCCCCAGGGTCCCAAGCCCTGCAATGCTACAGCTTTCAACACATCTACTTCGGGCCCTTTGACCTCAGTGGCATGAAATTCCTCAATGTCTCCTGTCTCCTCGGATGCTCCGAGGCTGTCTTATCCCTGAACACTGGTGAGGGGCAGGAAACACACAAAAAAAGGGCGGGAGCGGGGGACAAGGACAAGGATGAAAGATTAGACGGGGTGGGGGGGGGGGGGGTGGAGGAGCAGACAAGGGGTTGGGAAGGAACTGGGTAGAAGAGGGGAGGGAAGGTCAGGATAGAGATGCAGAAGTGGAGGTTGGAGAAGGGGTAGGACGAAGGAGGGGATGGGGGGGCAGGAGGTGGGAGGAGGAGACAGTGGGGGGCCAGGAAGAGGAGGTGGGAGAGGGGCAGAAAAGCGGAAGAGGGGAAGGAGAGAAAAGGAGGAGGAGGAAAGGGTTGGTGATGAGAGGAGAGGGGGAGGCGGTGTAGAGGGAAGCAGAGTTTGACAGGGAGCGAGGGACTAAAGAGAAGGGCAGGGCTGGAGGGAGAAGCCAGGTTGAGTGAGAAGCGAGAAGACAGAGGAGCAAGAGACTTGAGACTAGAGGGAGAGAGGTGGAGAGGAGGGGGCGTGGGAGAGGAGGAGAAGGGCTGAGGGGGAGGCAGCGCGCCAGACCCCATCCCCTCGCTCCCAGGGTACCGCGCCTCAATGACCATGGTACAGAAGGGCTGCTGGACAGGCCCGGCTACGGGCCAGATGCAGTGGAATGACAAGGCGCTGCCGCCTAACTACTCGGTGGTGCGCGGCTGAGGGACCGACCTTTGCAACGCGAACTTCCAGACCCACGACTCCCTCGCCAACCTGGGCCGAGGTATGCGAGGGGCGGGGCTGGGTGTGGGGCGGGACTGTACGGGGCTGGGAGGGGCCCCGGCCCGCGCGCGCGCCCGGGGAGGGGTGTGGTCTCCGTTGGGCTCCTCCTCCCGGCGCGCTGGGATTCCAGCGCCCCAGTCGGGCCAGACGGGAGCCCTGGCGCAATGCACAACCCGCACGACCGTACCGAGGACCGTTACCTGAGTGTGCGTCCACGCTCTCCTGCCAGCGCCCAACCCGCCGACGCTCAGCGGCCCCAAGTGCTACTCCTGAGTGGGGATCCACCCGGAGGACTGCACCCCGGAGAAGTTCCGGCGGGTCCAGTGTCACCAGGACCAAAGCATCTGCTTCCAGGGCAATGGCAGCATGACCTTTGGTGAGAGGCTGGGAGGGTGAGAGGGCCTGGGCAAGGGGTGTGGAGGCAGGGCAGGGCTGACAGGGAGACACGGCCCTGGTCTAAAGAAGGAGGCATGGTCCTGGACTGAGGGAGGAGGCATGGCTCTGGTCTAAGGAGGGGACTGGAAGTAAGTCTGAGAACCCAGTCATGGCTGTGATCTCTGAGGTGGAGGTTCAGGTGCAGCTGCCTCCCTCGGTTCTGACCCTCCTCACTGCCCGCCTCCCAGGCAATTTCTCAGTCCCTGTGTACATCAGAACCTGCCACCGGCCCTCCTGCACCACCCAGGGCACCACCAGCCCGTGGACAAACATCGACCTCCAGGGCTCCTGCTGTGAGGGGCACCTCTGCAACAAGGACTCCATCAGCCTTCACCAGCGCCTCGGGCACCGTCCCTCCTGGGGCGCCCCCCCACCGTCATAGTCCTTCTCCTCATGGCTACCCTGCTGGCTAGCACTCTGGGAGGACCCCTCGGGCTCTCCTCATAGCCCCTCCAGCCCCTTCCTGAGCAGGATGCTGGGGGCAGGGCACACGCGCCCTCTTCTCACTGCTTCAGTTCCTGGAATGTGGAAAATAAGAGCTGCACTCCCGTGTCTCTCTCTCTCTCTCTCTCTCCCCCTCCCTCCCGCTTCCCTACTAACGCCCAGCCCTTACCTGGTCAGCAGGCCTGGGAGAAATTGGGCAAGGTCCCTAGCATCCCAGGGTGGGGAGAAACAGCCACATCCCACGCCGCATGCAGAGCAAACCTGATCATAGATCCTGCTTGCTGAGCACCAACCAGGCCCAGGCTCACCACAACCCCATTTCCTGGTTGTGGGTTTCCTGGTCCTAGGCTCTCCCTCCAGAGCCTGGAGCCAGGCTGCATGGGTTCGAATTCCAGCTTCAGCATTTTGCCTGTGGGTGACCTTGGGCAAGTTACTTAATCTCACTGAGACTATGTTTCCTAACTTGTCAGGCAGAGGTGAAAATAAAACCTACAGTAATGACAAGGTCCTACTTCACAGTGGTTGTGGGCGGGATTTAATGAATTCCCTCTCTTTGTCATCTTGATCTGTGATCATCTGTTTGAATATTTAGTCATTTAAAAATACTCATTCAACACCTACTTATTGCTGTCTGCTAACTGCAGTGCACGAGAAATATCTGGTTTGGGTAAGAGGGAAAAGGCAGTAAAAAAGTAGAATGGGGGCTTCCCTGGTGGCGCAGTGGTTGAGAGTCTGCCTGCCGATGCAGGGGACATGGGTTCGTGCCCCAGTCCGGGAAGATCTCACATGCCGCGGAGCGGCTGGGCCCGTGAGCCATGGCCGCTGAGCCTGCGCGTCCGGAGCCTGTGCTCTGCAACGGGAGAGGCCACAACAGTGAGACGCCCGCGTACCGCAAAAAAAAAAAAAAAAGTAGAATGGATGCTATTGATAAAATTTTAATTTATGAAGGAACCTTCCTACACTGTTGGTGGGAATGTAAAATGGTGCAGCCACTATGGAGAACAAAAACTAAAAACAGAACTACCATATGGCCCAGCAATCCCACTCCTGGGCATATACCCAGAGAAAACCATAATTCAAAAAGATACATGCACCCCAATGTTCACTGCAGCACTATTTGCAGTAGCCAAGACATGGAATAGACCTAAATGTCCATCAACAGATGAATGAATAAAGAAGATGTGGTATATACATACAATGGAATACTACTCAGCCATAAAAAAAGAATGAAATAATGCCATTTGCAGCAACATGGGATGACCTAGAGATTATCATACTAAGTGAAGTAAGTCAAACAGAGAAAGACAAAGATCATATAATATGGCTTATATGTGGAATCTAAAAAAAAATGATACAAATGAACTTATATACAAAACAGAAATAGACCCACAGACGTAGAAAACAAACTTATGATTACCAAAGGGGAAAGGTGGGGGAAGGGATAAATCCTAATTTAACATATACACACTACTATATATAAAATAGATAACCAACAAGGTCCTACTGTATAGCACAGGGAAGTATATTCAATATCTTGTAATAAACTATGATGGAAAAGAATGTGAAAAAGAATATATAAATATTATATATATATCCTATATAGATATAATGATGTGTGTGTGTGTATATATATATATATATACACACATCATTTTGCCATACACCTGAAGCTAACGCAACATTGTACATCAACCATACTTCAATTAAAAAAATTACTTAGGGCTTCCCTGGTGGCGCAGTGGTTGAGAATCTGCCTGCTAATGCAGGGGACACGGGTTCGAGCCCTGGTCTGGGAGGATCCCACATGCCGCGGAGCAACTAGGCCCGTGAGCCACAACTACTGAGCCTGTGCGTCTGGAGCCTGTGCTCCGCAACGGGAGAGGCCGCGATAGTGAGAGGTCCACGCACCGCGGTGAAGAGCGGCCCTCACTTGCCACACCTAGAGAAAGCCCTCGCGCAGAAACGAAGACCCAACACAGCCAAAAATAAATAAATACATTAATTAATTTTTTAAAAAGTCCCTTTAAAAAAATTAATTTATGAACATCAGGACCACCACCGATAATCTTTATATAAAATAATAAAGGGAAAGAACAGGCAAGATTAAAAGATATGGATAGACAAATATATGAAAAGATAAAAATAAAGGGAAAAAGGAGGGAAGGAAGCAAAGAAGCAAGGAAAGGAAGAAGGAAAAAAAGCAAAGAAGAAAATATGCATATCTAATACAGTTTGCATTTCTGTAACTGGTCACAAGGCCATAGTTGATATGTTTAATTTCCTTCTTCCGTTACTCATTCCAAGTGTCCTTTGCCCTCAGCTGGCTGGTGTTATTTATCAAGTTAGGCAACCGAAACCCTCATTCCTGAAAGGTCTAAATCCTTAGTGGTCCTGCATGTTTTTGAGGGGGTTACATATACTATGGGACATGAAATCTCTAAGGAGTGCTCCAGAGAATGCCTTGGGTTCCAGACACGGCCTTCCTTGGATCCACTCTGCAGGAGGAACCCAATTTCCCCTTAGTAATTGAGATCAGTCATCCCAGCAAATAATCTTCTTCTTTGCCCATTGGTTCAGTGGAGTGAGGAGCCCTAAAAGGCCAGGTGAACGTCTCACCTTCCCACTCAGTGGAAGCATTGCTGTGTCCTCTAGTGGAAGCAGGAAGCATTCTTTCCTTGGGAACCAAAACCTCCAAACCAGCAGAGCTCAAAGTCATGGGGATGGGAGGCAGAAGTTCTGCAAGGGGCTTCCGTGGTGGCGCAGTGGTTGAGAGTCCGCCTGCCGATGCAGGGGACGCGGGTTCGTGCCCCGGTCCGGGAAGATCCCACATGCCGCGGAGCGGCTGGGCCCGTGAGCCATGGCCGCTGAGCCTGCGCGTCCGGAGCCTGTGCTCCGCAACGGGAGAGGCCACCAAAGGAAAGGGGCGCGGCCAAAGCAGTGAGAGGCCCAAAAAAAAAAAAAAAAAAAAAAAGGAAGTACTCGGGCTGGAAGGGCTGGCAGGTAGAGAAAAAAACCTCTGACTGGGGGTTAGGGCATCAGGAGTGATTTCATAGAGAACGGAGCCTGTGCTGGGTCGTGAATGATGAGGGAGGTCACCAGGTGGACAGAATGAGGAAGAGCATTCCAGACAGAAGGGCCAGCCCACACAAGCTCATGAAAGGAAACACTTGGTTTGTTTGCTTTTTATCATTATTATTATTGAAGTATAGTTGATTTACAATGTTGTGTTAATTACTGCTGTACAGCAAAGTGATTCAGTTATACATATATATACATTCTTTTTTGAATATGTTTTTCTATTATGGTTTAACATAGGACATTGAATATAGCTCTCTGTACTGAAGAGTAGGACTTGTTATCCATCCTATATATAAAAGCTTACATCTGCTAACCCCAACCTCCCAATCCATCCCTCCCCCAACCCCCTCCCCCTTCACAACCACCAGTCTGTTCTCCATGTCCTTGATTCTAGGAAACACTTGTTAAATGGCAGAGGGACAGCAGGACAGAAGCAGGAACAAGTAAGAGACAGAGGGAGCTGCAGGGAGGGACAGTCAGCAAACATTTATAACCTATTCTTCTGAGCCGGTGACGCCAGGGACCCAGCAATGAGTCAGACCCAACCCTGTCCTCCTGGTCTGGAAAGAGTCAGTCACAAACCCGGAGGCTGATGGTTGGTAAATCATAAAGTATGGAGGTCTAGGGGAGCTCCAAAGAGGAAGACCAGGGAAGGCTTCTGATAGGAACGAATCTCTGAGAAGACACTTAAGTGACAAGTAGGAATTGGCAAAGGAGAAGGAGGAAGGGCGGAGTGCAGAAAGGCTTGGTCTGTGTACAAAATGTGAGAAAAGATGAGGATGAAGTGATGGCAGCTCTCCTGAGGGGCTTAAAATGTCAGATGAAGCTAAAGTTTCCTGAACTTATTCTGCAGCCAGTGGGGATCCATGGAAGGGCTTCGAGCAGGGGAGAGGTATGGTCGAAGCCAGGGGATGGTAAGCTCTCCCTGTGAGCACGCAGGGGACAGACTGGGGGAGTGAGACTGAAGGTAGGGACACCAAGGAGAGGCTGGTGATGGGGTCTCTCATTCATGGTCTCCAGGGTCAGGGGCCACTTAGTGTTGAGGGGCTTGGAGGGAGAAGGAAGGAGTGAGAAAACAGTGTGTCAGGGCTGAGGAGTAAAGTCCCTTATGCATGAGGATTGTGGCTTCCTCTGGAGATTGGGAAGAAGGCGGTGGTCATAAAGAAGCACACAGGAAGATTCTGGGGAGTGGCAGTATTCTCTCTGGGTGTGTGGAAATTTCATGGGGATACACAAATGTAATCATTTGTCCAATATAAATCTCTATATGGTATGCACTTTCTGAACGTATGGTATATTGCATAAAAAAAATACTAATGCCAACACCAAAGTTAAGGCAAGAGCCTAGGTTTTTGGACTCCCATATTGTGGCTTTCTAATCTTTGGTGACAGAGGTCAGGATGCTGGCTATCTCTGGTGTATCAGTTGGGAGACGGTTCAGGAGAACCTCCTGTGGCAATGGAGATGCTCTATGACTTGCCTGAGGTGATGGTCACACGTGTCTATACACAGGTAGAACTGCATCAATTTGTACACTTAAGACTTGTGGGGGGCTTTCCTGGTGGTGCAGTGGTTAAGAATCCGCCTGCCAATGCAGAGGACATGGGTTCGAGCCCTGGTCGGGGAACTAGATCCCACATGCCGTGGAGCAACTAAGCCCGTGCGCCACAACTACTGAGCCTGGGCTCTAGAGGCCGCGAGCCACAACTCCTGAGCCCAGGTGCTACAACTACTGAAGCCCGCGTGCCTAGAGCCCATGCTCCACAACAAGAGAAGCCACCGCAATGAAAACCCCGCGCACCGCAACGAAGAGTAGCCCCCGCTCGCCACAACTAGAGAAAGCCCGCGCGCAGCAACGAAGACCCAACGCAGCCAAAAATAAATAAATTAACTAATTAATTTTAAAAAAAGATTTGTGACCTTTCCAACGTGTAAGCCATAACTCCACAGAAAGAAACAAAATTAAAATACGACATACAATTAAATGATATCATGTCTGGGATTTGCATGAAAATAATATAGGAAGTGAGGAAGCAGGTGGAGGCACAGATGAAATGCAATTAACCATGAGTTGCTTTTGTTAGATGGGTACGTGAGGTTTATTGTACTCTTCTGTTCACTTCTGCTTGTTTGAAGTTTTGCATAATAATAATATATATACGTATACGTATACATGGATAGATAGATAGACAGATAGGCGATAGATAAAACAAATACCTGTTGAACCCAGTGACCCAGGCACTTCCTCCTTTCAGAACTCAGATGCCTGCTGCGCTCAGTGACCCAGGTGGTCCAGTGCTTGGATCACGCTCACAGTGCCCCTCTCCTAAGATTCTGTTGCCCTCCCCAGGTTAATGCAGGTGGGAGCCTAGGTCAGCACCAAGGACAGATCCACAGCATTGGGTCTCAGAACCACAGACAGCAACTCAACTAATAGGTGAGACAAAGGACACGGAAATGAGGAAATGACATCCTTCCGATTTCCAGAACAGTGTGGAACAGGGCAGGAGGGTGGAGTCGAAGAAGAGCCAATCAGTATTACTGAATAAGAGCATTCCTTCAACAAATAGCCATTGAGCATCTCCTCTGTGCCAGGCACAGTTCTAAACACTGGAGATGGCAAAATCCCTGTCCTGAACAAGTAGGAAAATAAGAAAACAGGATCATTTAGATAAATGCCATGCGCCATGATAAAGA